GTTTAGAATAATAATTGTTTGTGTTTTGTTATACAAATAAATAACCCTAATCCATAATAATAATAATAATAATAAAAAAATAATAATAATAATAAATAATGGTTTGATACTGGAAACTGATTTTGATATTTTGATATTAAGTGATACTATTGTGGTCAGAGATGAGGAAATCAACAGTTTAAAGAAGCTAAGATTATTATTTAAGACTGTTTTTTTTTTCATCATGTGTTGTACACCATTTGGAAGCCTTTAAACAAATATTGCGGACTTCAAATTTAGTAAAGTATATAACATATCCGTATTCAACCCTTCCATTTAATCAGGATTAAACATCAAACGAGCAAGTGATTTTAAATACACATTACAGATCATGACAGCAGTGGGTAAATATGGGAGGCACACACTGACACACAATTAAACTAATAGTGTGTTTTAGTTAAATGCTGAGCTTTTTATGCCAGGATCACTCGTTCCATAAAAAGCTAAATACTGTATGGAGCGCAGATCAAAAAAAAAATGACAACGATCCCCAGCAAGAGTTTGGTCATGCAGATTAAATCCCTCGGGACAGTTTTAGGACACACGGTCAGATAGCAGAGGACCCAGAACGCGTTAACGTAATTGTCTCTAATGTACCTTGAGCAAAAGAATGCTTGTTGTACTTCAAAAATAAATAAACAAAATAAATAAAAAATACATGAACACATATCTAAGCCTGTGATCACCTAAAATTTGGAATATCTAATTGCATGATGTATTTCGATAAAAATACCTTTTATGGAGCCCTAAACCAACTGTGTGATACGTAGCTATCACGAGTCACACTACCACCACACACCTGCTGAAGCACCAGACGTCACACTGTAGCGTAAGACACATTTGTCAATAAAACATATATACACTGTATACAAAAAAAATTGTATATTTACTAATAACCATGATTGTAGTAATACATATATAAAGATTAAGTAAATTTTAAAGTTTTTTATGGTTGTCCCAAATTCATGCATCCTTTCTGTGTTTACATGTTTCAAATATTTTTCACGATTACGGCACCTGATATTTCTATAGTAATCATGTTTTGTATTTTTTACACATTTGAGAAACATACTATGTCGATACTTTAATTATTTACAATATTTAGGGTTTTTTTTTTCTTCTATTTTTTTTCTTCAAACAGCACAATTTGCGTTGTGTTAATGTTGCGTTGACTGCTTTAACGTTTGCACATTTTAACTAAAAAAGAATAATTAAAGAAATCTGAAGAGCAGGTAGTGAATTTGACATATTATCCAGGAAGCCTGGGCAGCTATCTGTTACTAGTCAAATATTTCAACAAAAGAAAGTGTATTAAAAGCTTAAGAAGGATTACAAATGTAGAGAACAATGATAATAAAAAAAAAAAAAAATTATAATCTTCAACAGCGCTCACACAAAGCACAGACATTCGCCTACTTAGATACCAACACAAAACATGTCTGGACTTTTTTTAAATCTGTCAAATCATCAAATTGTCATGAAAATGAAAAAAAAAAAATCAATAAATAAAAAAACTCAACTTTAAATAATTTTGGTTTTATATTACAGCATATTTATGATGCATATCTAAGCACTGCATTATTGAGTAAATACAACCTACATCTATAATCCCCATGTCACAATCCCTGAGACACTCGCACACACACACACACACACACACACACACAAACAGACAATACCAGTGATTAAATTTTCCATGGTCCATCATCCATCACTAATCAGCTTTCACTTGGATCATAGTTGCCTTCACTGTGCCCAATCTCCTAATCTAAGTTGAGAGAGCAGCTGACACTGGTAACAGAGCATCTGTGCACCCAACTGTGTACACTCCAAAATAATATACAGCAGACATGAGAGAGAGAGCGAGAGAGCAATTTAAAAAAGAAACTATTGTTAAGCAACAGCACACAATTTAGGTTCAAGATTGTTATTTACATTGTGTAGATACAAACGTCTTATTTTGAAATTCAAGATAACGATTATTAAATGATTAACAATCAACAAGTTCTTTTTCATTTTATTTTTCCTTCTTCTTCTTCCTTTTTTTCCTGTGTATTATATAAAGCCTGGGGTTCATTTGTGTCCGTTGACTTTGCAGTTCTTAGGCGAGCTTAAAATAACGGTCAGTCATATTGTCTCATGCCGTAAAGGTCAATGGTTTGTAACCCTCTCAAGGCCTTTCTGTGTAGTGGAAAATACAAGTATTCCATGATAAGAGTCTGAAACTATTGCAAGATTTTGTTCGTGATACAAGGAAATATTTAGTTATGAGTGCTCAACCGAGGACTGGCATCCCTGCAGTTGTACGGCATGGGGAAGCCGCGTGACTCTGATGCCAACGCAGCTGCGGAGTTAGTTACAAACTTTTAGTGTTTAATAAAATAAATTAAAAAATATACATACATATATTTGTATGTATACTATATATAAACTTGTTTCTCGAGGGTCCACTGTATTTCCTACCACACTAAAAGTCCAGTCTATCATGTCGTATGTCAGGCACGCTTTTTAATTCACTTTTGGCTTAGAATGTCCGCTCGACAGAAGTGGTGGACACTAAATACTTGCATGCAGTTAGCTTGAGTTTGTGCCTTCTTTGACCATCCAATGAAATCACTTAAATCGCCTACATAACTGTAGACCAGATTAGAAGGTCTTGGCCAACTCAAAATGTGATTGGTTAAAGAAGCAGTATCGTTGCCATTCATTTTATGCTTTCAGTGAGTATTGACTCTGCAGATGTATTTCACCCTGGCAACACATGAGGCTAAAATAAGATAAGATAAAAAAAAAAAAACTCCATTAGTCAAAAAACATATTCCACCAATGTGCTTCACAAGGCATCACAAGAAATATCATTCTTATCTAGGGCCATTAGACTCTTTAACATTTTTAAAATTACGCCTAACGGTTTCATATTTTGCACTCTGTGGTATTTATGGTATTAGAGTAACTATTCATGCAATAATCTGATTGAATCCATCTGTGCAGTATTTGTTCAATATTTGTTCAATATTCTGATTTACTGTATAACATTTGATTCCATGGACTGCTGCAAAACAATTAATTTTGGCAAATTAAAAAAAAAAAAGTCTACATGCAGTGTTTCATATAGTTTACCTCTTTTAGAACAGAGTAGATATTAAGATACGATAAGATGAAAATTAGATACAAATGTTTCTTATATCCGATAACGATACTGCAACTTGGTGTATCTGAGATATCATAAAGTCTACATGCAGTGTTTCATACAGTTTACCTCTTTTAGAACAGAGGAGATATTAAGATACTGAAAATTAGATACAAACTTTTCTTATATCCGATAACGAGACTGCAACTTGGTGTATCTGAGATATCAAGCCGTGCCTTACTGTTCCCTCCGGCATGCTGCGGGCCGCCGTCGCTAAAGCTACAGCATCTGTGTTTACAGATAAGTTATGTGGGCTTAGTTATCAGATCAGATGGGATATAGTTGGGGTTTTCTTTATGTTTGATCCTGAAATTGTGACCAATATCTGACCAATTCTGATCCAGAGTATGGGATTGAGCCGGCAATATTAAACTGCAATTCATAACAATGCAATGGATGTACTGTACAGATTTTATAGCTATTGTTAATTTTAGACTATTCTCTAGTTGGGCTTTTACATAAACTTTAGATTCATAATGATGATTCAAATGACCATTTAGCTAAAGCTAAAATCTCATGGTAAACACTATGTATAGGTATAGGTGTCTTTGAAATGCTCTTGGATTTTAAACTGATAACAAGGCCCTAAACTTCATCAGAAAATCCCACTCCATCTTGGCTTTCTCAATTACATTCATTACATTAATTAAGCCGTGTGTCAGGGTCATCAGCTCAAAGGATTAAAACGTTAAATAAACCACTCTATATAAAAATATCATGTGTTTCTTTTACGTTACTTGTGCCCGTAAACAAGCTGATGTACGATTATCAAGAAAAACGATAGGGGATGTTTGGTTTTTTTGTTTTTTTAAATGAACTTACTGTAGGTTATCCAGCCTTGTCTTAAAGGTTTAAATTCAAATAGAGTATCATGGATGGCTAATTGCACCAGTTTTGTCATTAATTAATGAGGATAATTACCTCTCCTTACTCCCCCCCAAAACTATCATATTTAGCTGTTGCCAAGGTGAGAGAGAAAAGAGAGTGAAAGGAAGAAAGAGAAGAGAATGACAAAGAGGGAGAGTGAGATAGAGGGAAGAGAGTCGACAAGAAAGTTGTTGTTCGCAAAGCACAAAAGCTGTTTGGACTGCCCGTACAAAAATCACAATCACAAACACACCACAGAGATAGACAAAATGTCCACACAATACCGCAGTATTTGCATCAAAGTTCCTGAGAATCACAGCATTTGGATGTAAAGAACGACCTTTTGCCATAACTGGTACAGAATATTGCAAATATAAGAACTGCATATTCAGATTACGCTACTACATGATACTCAGACAGGTCATTCAAACACATTTATCTATGTTTCTGTTAATGGATATTCAGCTCAGTGTGTAACTCTGGACAGTTACCCTTACAGACAATTTGTTATGTGTAACAGATGGCAATTTATTTAGGACAAACGCATATATATGAGACAGATTGTTAACGTGCCGATTGTTTGCATTACAGCCCTACGTAGTGTTACCATTTTCCTATTCAATGTCTGTGCACATTTATGTAAAGAAAGTCACTGTGTTAATAACATGAACACACGTGAATGGTTTCCGTCCTGCACTATTACAAAACATATATAAATGAATTAACTCAGTGTACTTTGAATGGTTCCCGTCCTGCACTATTACAAAACATATATATATATATATATACCTTAAAGCTGCAATGTTAATGAAATAACTCCCTGTCAATCTTAAATGATTGTCACTATTAAATGGCAAATTCATTCGCAAAAAAAAAAAAAATAATGTTGACGAAACACAGCGGGTAAGAGTTTGGTGGTTTATTCAAAAATAAACAGGCAGTCTGTGGCCTTGCAGTGACATCAGCAGGATCGATGGCTTGAATCCTGGCAAAGACTGCCTTGTATCCCTTTACTAGGATGGGTTAAATGCAAAGAGTATTTTCCCTCAGCGTGATAATAGTAATAAATGACCCATGTCCCAGCTGTTTGGATTTCATTTTATATCAACTGTAATAATACACAAATTTATGGATAGGTCTATTGGAATTAGATGCAAATTAACCAAATAAATAGATACAAAATAATAATGCAATAGCAATTTATTAATTTAATTTAATAATTACTTATTGGTCACAACTACCCAGATGATAAACAATGTTCTGTAAAATTGTATTGCACAAAAAAAAATGTATCTTTGCATTATTTCACTATGACAATCTTCAGGATAGATGAACAGAAAGTTCAATAATTCTCAGGTGAATGTTGGACGGTGTTGATTTTTCGTGGTGTTGTGAAGACTGCAGAAGAAAGCCGATAATCATCACTAAACAAATGTCAGGCTGCGGTAATATTAACAAGAACATTAATTACGTTCTATTTTTATAACGCATCATTTCCAGAAACATTTTTAATCCCAGTAGTGCTTTAAACAACATTATTACGGTTTCGAATTCATTCATTTTTTATTCCGAGATGGCAGGTTAAAGTGTTACTTTCTCTTCTTAATTTATTTATACCCAATTAACAAAATGGAATGCGGTGCATAACCACGCGAGGATCTGATTAAAGCACAAAATATATATAAGGATGTGAGGAATCTCTTAAAAAGAGTATTCTATTTATCTTTAAGGTTTCCGTGAAAATACAACCAACCAACTAGGCGAGTGTTAAAAGTGACAATCTTGGAATTAAAGAGCTCAAATCCTCCATGTGTGTTAACTGTAGCGCAATTTAAGTGTAACCAATCAAAAACAAGAAATAATGAATGAACGTCAACGCGATGGCTGCGGTCGGAACATAGTTTTAGTGTAAATTGGAAAATGTTTTTTTTTTTTTTTTTTTTTACAGAAGTCACAATATGCCACGTACATTGGAACAAAGTAAATCAAAGTAAATAGAATTTATAGCTGAAGAAAACAATATTGTTCAAAAAGTTGAAAAAAAAACACGGATTAAGGTTTAAGGAGACTCGAGTGTGTCCCGGAGTAAGTGGTGCACTTCCCGGTGAGCGCCGATTCCGGTAACGGGTAGATGGACGTCTGTCCCAAAGTAGCCAAGGCAGCGGGGACAGGAGAGGTCAGAGACTGTCCTTGGTTCAGATATGCCAACAGTCGCCTCATCTCCTCCAAAGCCTGGGCCTGCATGAGGATGTAGTTCTTGGCCAAAAGAAGAGTGGCTATTTTGGAGAGTTTTCTCACGGACGGGCTGTGGGCGTATGGTATTACAGCACGCAGACCGTCGAGCGCGTCGTTCAGGTCGTGCATCCTCCGCCGCTCGCGGGCGTTGATGCTGAGCCTCAGTGAACGCTGCTCCTTGGTCTTCTTGATCAGGGAACCACTTGCCTGATCTTCCCCGAACGATGAGCCCTTTTTCCTGGACTCCAAGGGATTAAAGCCGTCCTCGTCGTCGCTTGTCTGCTCCCCGCCGCTCTCAGTGTTAGGGTTAGTGTTCACCTGACCCGCGAGAAAGTCGGTGGTCGGCGTAAACGGGAAACAGGATCCGGCGCATACAGCGCCGCGGGCAGAACTGGACACCGCCGGGCCGAGGCCGAACGCCGAGTGTCCATAGCGCTGTGTCAGATCCAGCAACGCGTCTTTGCTGATGGACTTGAGCAGGATCTCATCGCTGACATTCATTTTGTCTAACGGAGCAGATTCAAGCCCAGTATATTTCTATCCCTCTTCTCTCCAAATTAAAATGAGTGTACTCTTCTAGAAAGTTATTCGGAAGAGTACTTTCCCCCTTCTTTCCTTTTCTACTTCCTAATCCTCTCTGTCCCCTTTTCCCCACTCTGCTTTTGTCTCTTTGGAGAAGAAGTTGTCAAACTAAAGAGAGTAATAACCTCCTCTGAACTCTGTGCTTGCTCGCCCGTTACTCGAGCTTGTCTAATCTAACGACGGTCCTCGTCAGACTGAGAGCCGGTGGCGATTATTTCCAGCAGACCAATGAGGGGAGTGGGTAGGTGGGGGGGGGGTGGCCGTTCAATTACGTTCCTATTTTCAACTCCCTGTGGAAGCATTTGCTGCACAGACTGGCGGGGACTCGTGTTGTCCCTTGAACGGTGTATTTTACTGTAAAGATGTGCGGAGTACACACATGGAAATGAAAGGAAATGCTTTACACAACACACACTCTCAGTCTAACTGAAGTCTGAAACAATAGCACAAAACCCTTAACAAAGTCGAAGGTCATTTATCTTGTATACCGAAGTCAACAACAACAAGGAATAATAAATATCATTAATGTATCAAAGATAATCAACCGTGGTACCTACAAAAATATCAATCAAAATTGTTTGTTTTGGTTTTTTTTTTTAGATAAAATTATTCATTACAAAGCACAGAAGTATGATGCAGCAAATGTTGGTTAGCAGCTGTGGATATTAGATTTTAGATAAAAATATTCATTACAAAGCACAGAAGTATTATGCAGCAAATGTTGGTTAGCAGCTGTGGTACTGGTGGCTAAAAATATCACAAATGCCAAAATACGTAGCTGTTTCTTCGAATATCTGATGGCTAATCCTTTAGTATTCGACCAAGTTCTCACAGGCAAGAAAATAAAAAAGTAAATTAAATGGTTATCTACGTTGGCAGCGTTAATTGTTAGCATTTTGTAATCTAAACTTCTCATTAGGACCAAAACGTACTCAATTCAAATCAATCAAACTGGTGTTTGGATTCCTATCTCTTTATTTTTACTTTAGCTTTTTTTTTGTTCACGTTTTTACTTTGGTCCATTTAGAGTCAAGTAAACTGAATCTCCAATGTACAAATAAATCTTTAATATCTTTTAGATTTATATATGTTCACTGATATCGGTGTTGTTGATAAATTGTTTTGACAATATATATATTTTGCAAACTTATTTCTTCTTGCTGAAGACAGTGGCGGACAGTGTCGGCTGAGTGAAGGCAATGGCTCCATCGTGTGTCTAGTTGGTGCCATTACATTTTCTCCGAACCTCGTTTTTAACTATAACAGTGCTTATACCCCAACCATACCAAAAAATATTTTGTTTCTTCAATCCATCTTTTAAGGTGGTTTTTGCCTTTATTTGTTAGCTGAAAAAAAAATTCACTAAAATATTGGAGAACTATTGAACTCTCTCATTTGTATTTATAAAAAACTTTAAAAACAGATGAGCTGACTTGAGTACAATAAGTAAAAGTATTTTGAGTTTAGACAGGTTAAAAAAAGAATAGACTTAGAAGGACTTACAAGAAGAGGATTTTTGTTATTTTAGAAACTTCAAGAAAACTCCAAAAAAGAAGAATGGATTATTTCTCTACTTTTGTTTGCCACAACTGTGACCGGACAAGAAGAGTGTGTCACCCAGGGGTGAAAAGCGGCCCTGTCGTGGGCAGCTTAGGGCTCGGCACATTTATATTTTATTAATTTACTAATTTATATTAATCAAATCATATTTGCCTGATTATTACAATGGCTGGAATTTGCTTACGTGCTGTGCCCTTTTCATTCTAATTAATACAATTGTATAAAAATAAAGTTTATAAAATTAAGTTGATCAAGTTTAATACAATGAAGAAATGTAATGTAACATAATGTAGACACCAAAAGCTTTGCAAATGAAGACACTTTGGGAGAAAGAATGCCTTTCTTGACAGAATTAGGTAAGAAGAGAAGTGCAGCAAGTTTAGAGGTGCCAGGTTTAACAAAGGATACAATCTGTTGACGAGGTAAACTGTTAGATAATTGGCAAAGATGTAGGAATTTGTGTGATGATGTTATTTGTGGTGACAAATTCAGGAACTAAAACCTCTTTGTTCTTTTTACTGTCTATGACTAACACTAGCAAGAATCAGGAAGAAAAGCAGAGTTGCTGGGCAACAGGTCATGGTTGCCATGGTGAATTTAAGTAGAACAGCTGGTCCAATCAGCAAAAAGTGTGGGTAGGCAGGAACTGAGCAGTGGGTCTCATATAAAATCAAGATTAAGGTAAAAATGACATTTAATTGTCCTTCAATAATCAAATAATCATTTGCATGAAAAACAAGTAAAGCACAAACACAAATGCATATAGAGTATATAAAAAGAAAGTAAAAAGAGAGTTAACCAATATATAATCAAAAACAAGGGTCAGCTCAACTTCAAACATGTCCAATGTCCACGGAAGTTTTAACTAGGCCCTAGTTAATTGAGATTTCCCTCTTCATATATATATATAAACTTTAGTCTGTTTACTGTTTAGTTTGTTTAGCTCTGATTAGTCTGAGCTCTGATTAAAGTAAATATATATTTGTAAAATAAAAAAGCAGAATAACAGAATTACATTTATTTTACTTGGTTTTATGTTGTTTTTTGATCTTAAAAGTGCACACAGCCTGAACTTCCGGGCTGTTAAACATTATCTCCCTCTTCTTACAGGATTGTAAACTGCATGTGAGAAGTGGACGATTTTTGTTTTCAATATTGTTCATGGAGAAGACCTGCTGACATACGTACGTGGATCCTAAGACAGCTGCTAATGTAACCAAATTAAGTGATATAAGTGAATTACAGTACAATATCAATTTAGGCTAGTAATAAATAAAATCATAGGACACCAAATTTGTTAGAAGCCATATATTAAGCAGCAATAATGATTCAGAAAGAGAATAATTGTTTAGAAGCCACTCTTGAATTTTTACAATAGTAACGGAAAAAACAATTTACTGGTACAGACGAAAATAACAACCCAGATAATCAGAAACAAAATGTGTAGACTATAGATAAAATAACTGTTGAGGGACTTAAAAATTGAAATACGTTGCAGGTGCACCCGTTTAAGACGTGTCTGGGTGTGTGTGTGTGTGTGTGTGTATACCTGTATCCCCTTGTCTGTGTCTTTTCCTTCAGGGCACATGGCTTGTCATCAAATATGATTGGGATCGTATCCTGGTCCTCAAACTATCCCGTCCTCTCAGAAACATGACCTACAGACAAGGTCACATCTATTACATTCTATTCTCAGAAGCATCATTAAAAGGATAAATGTCACTGTGGTGTATACTTGTTATGACAGTGTGGCGTCACAACACATTGGAGTAAAGTGTTGAGGGTTCTGTGTGCAATGTTGGTTATGGCAGTTACGCAATAAAGTACACAGTTTGCACACAGCCGTTGTCTGTGTTTTGTGCGACATAACAGTCACAACTCTTCATATTGCATCAACATTGATTCACAAATCTGAACTCAAACCTCAAATATGTTTATGTTGTACAACATATAACATTCAAGAAAGCAATACGTTCCAATATGAGGAGTAAACATTTAGGAACTCAAAAATTCAACATAAAACACAATTGTATGCGTTGTGGTAAACCCTAATATTCAAAATAATTACTAAAGAATGAATGAATGAACCAATGAGTAATGAATAATGGAATAAATAAAATACCAAGGAATGCACGTAGTGAGTTGTTTTCAGAGGTATCAAAGAATTGTAATAATTACTCATTAACTATAGGTCGAGAAGAAACAACACCAAAAATAATTCTTTTTAAATAATTCTTTTTTAGCAGAACCAAGATAAACTATGACTTTAATTATAGTTTAACTATGTAATTTATAGCATCAGAGTAGCTAAAAGAGGCACACATTTCTCACCGTTTTTCTGTGTTTCAAGTTGAGCACGCAATGTTGGGGTTTGAGGGGCTCACAAAATGGAGGATATGTAATTAGCCTGTCAAGGACCGAAATAGCATGTACCATGTGTTAGCCGTCATTCTTTTTTTTTACAAAAAAATGTTTCGTTTTACCGACATAACTCGACCCCTTATTCGGTCACTCGGCTCCAGACTCTCAGCAGGTAAGTGTATTGGTTAATTTATTTCGTTTGTTCGCCATTTTTCTCCTTTTTTCGTCTTTTTTGCAAATAGCTACCTTTTTTCCCGCGGCTGATATGAAAGGACCGAGCAAACAGCGCGTCTACACTTCACCGCTTCACTGACAGGCTGAACGTGACCTGCGTTGCTCCTGATTGGCTGTTGAGGGCTCGACCTCCTCGCCCCCAAGTGGAGTTACGTGGATCAAGTGGTGCATTCAAGTATAATAGGACATTTGAAATAACCAGGGGCTACACATACGTTTTAACCCCCATGTGTATTTTAAGAAACAAAAAAGAAATCAAATTTAGAATTAGTTAAAAAAAGAATTAGTTAAAAATAAACAAACTAAAATAAATACATTTGTATTAAGTATTCAATATTTACTTTCCAAAGCCACAGCAGAGGGATGAAAGAGCCACATGCGGCTCTGGAGCCGCAGGAAGCCAACCCCTGACCTAAACCCATGGGTAGTTAGGTTGATATTTACAGAAATAGATTTGCCAGAAATCTGCTAGAAATAGAAAAAAATTAATCAAAAATGTATTCTGCCCTGTTATTAACATTAAGATTTATACAATTCAGGTATACCTAAATCAAAAATGTATTTTGCCCTGTTATTAAGATTTATACAATTCAGGTATACCTTAACCCTCCCACTTTTTTTTATTACCTTGCCTATCCTTCATTTTGGGACCACGAGGTGGGGCGCTTTCTTTGGCCGTGTTTTGTTTGACTTGATTGCTTGTTTCCTCACAAGATCTGGCAACGTCGGATGGCAACCGGAGGAGGAGCAGGAAAAAGAGGAGGATAGAGAGTGAGTGAACGAGTAAGAAAAAGACATCTAGTCTTTGCGTCACCGACGGCATCAGCGCATCTTCTGAGCAGAATATTATGTTATCACCAGACAAACGCAGACGAGACTAGACACACGGCTCGGTTTTTACCTCATTTCTGTTTCGGTGATGTGAAAGCGAGAAAATATAGGATGGCTGTGAGAAGGAGGATACTGGTGAACGTCCGTATCCCGGAAGATGTCGTCTGAAGATCTGCAGGGAATGACAAAATGGGATGCTTTGAAGAAGCAGAAGACGAATACGTAAGTACTTGCGTTTTATGTGAACCTCACACGTGCATAAATTCGCACACGATTGCATGTTCGTCCTAGATTTACATGAATGCATTTTAGATCAGGGGTCTCAAATGAGCTGGGGTGGTAGGCACTGTTGCCACCGTCATTTTATGGTAGGAAAACATCAATGTTCGATGTTCATCATAAAAAGAAAAGCCCGATATGGTTTGGAAAAATACGTGTTTGTTGTATATAAAATTCCCCATAAACAATACAATAGTAAAAACAATTAGAAAAAATATTTCCAGGCATTTTAATAATTGATATAAAAAATTACATCAAGGTCAAAATCAAATTAGGTCACGGATATACAGTAATGGTTCGCGGGCCGGAAGTGGCCAGCTGGAATGTGACACCCAAATTGTAGATGTTTCATCAACTTATTGTTGGAGGGGCTGCTGATGTGCGGTGTGATAGGTGTCCGAAAGTAACTAGGTAACTTGGGTCATTTGGAAAATAGTGCGCAGTTTTACCCCTCTGTGTGCACACGTTTGACCTATATATGGTACTACATGTCGCCCCCATTGTTTGGACTGAACACTGGGTAAGGGTAAAGTTATGAAATACCCTATCGTACCTATGCGCCGGATTGATAAGATGAACGGGCCGAATCCGGCCCCCGGGCCTTAGTTTGTCCATGCTGTGATGAGCATATTGTCCGTGGGCTCAGAATTAAAGCGAGGCCACACCACCTGTCTTAAGTTCTTCACAACCCCTCTTAAGTTCTTGACATTCCAATTACAATGGTGAAAATACATTTATTGCACTGTGATATCATATCATTATATATAAGTAAATACATTTATTGCATTTAAAAAGGGCGATCTTGCATTACTGTGATATCATATCATTATATATAAGATAGTTGGTCTCAAAAGTATCAGTGTTTAGAAAATAAAGCTATTAAATGGAAGGACATATCAGTGTTTACAAAATAAAGCTATTAAATGGAAGGACATCCACATTCCTTTACAGGTGATTTTACAAGTGTTTCATTTGTATGTATATTTATAACTTACACGCATACATTTAAACTATTTCTATACCTGTTCACATAACATCCTTGTAATAAACTAGTTCTGCTTAAATGAGTATTGTGTAGTAATTGTTAGCAATGGTATAATTGAAATATAATAGTAAATAATAATTGAGATTGCAATCAACAAAACTATACAGCGGCAACAATAATTACCTACTAATCTACCAATACTAACACTAATACTAACACGATCTATCTACTTCTACTAACCTACCACTCTAATCCAATAACATCCACTGTTTCTTCTTGTTTGTATTTGATTGTATTTTACCTAACTGTGTTTTTACTGTTGTTTTGGTGCCGTACTGCTGCCGGAGCCTACATTTCCCAAAGGGAACTCCCTAGGGATTAATAAAGTGCTATCTATCTATCTATCTATCTAATGTAATCCCGATAAATATGTATATTTACCCTAGAGGGCCAACTCGAAACATGCACAAAGGTTTTCTTGAACGCCAATGTTTCCCATTGACTTTGCATCATGTCTTGTTATCTGTTACATCAAGCCAATTTTTTTTTTTTCCCTGTTGTTTTTCATCTCTGTAGGGCTTCTGAGCCCAAGGTCTGGAAAGAATTTTAGCGTTAGCAACAAGTAAGTAACTAAGGGAGTAAACCAGTGTGTGCCATGAAGAGCAGTGAAACACATGTTGTGGAGGATGGCGACTACCAGCACCTGCTGGTTCTTGGAGCCATTGCAGCTGCCTCAGCTTTTGTCGTGACTATCCTAATTGTCCTTTTCTGCATTTGTTGCCAAAGGTAAGGTCATGTGACAGTCTTGAAGAAAGTACAACTGTCAACTGTTTGATCGATTTACCGATGCCCTAATCTCTGTCCTCTAAACTTTGAAGTTGTTTTTTTTTTCTCCAGTTTAGCATACGGTCTAATAATGAGTGTGAGTGTAAATTAATAATAATATTCAATAACTAAGTTCCATAATCGCCCCACAATGGGGAAGTTTCCAATTTGAGTGTTTGCAACTGACACAAGCTGCCACAGGAGGCGCCATTAAGTACAAGGCTGCACCTCAGAGGCTGCCATTAGAGATATGTGGAATCAAACCCACGACTCTTTGTGCTATAGAGGCAGGCGTTTTAACTGCTGCTGCTACACACATGCTTACAAACAAAGAATTATTAAAAAAGAACCAAGGCATAAGGAAACACATTCGGCTCTTTGCCCGGTTTCTTATATTTATGTCAAATTTTGTGTTTTTGTTTCCTTGCTAACATCCACCGGGCTTATCTGGCTTTTTGCAGTAAGACAGTAAGAACTGTGGCTCTTAGCCTGACTGGTTGACCACCCCTGACCTATGTGACACTTAACTCAACAATATTTTCTGTTCAGTGGTGTTCAATGGCAACAGATGTGATTAAATCTTTGCATAAAAATGCACACAAATACTACAAATCTATATATATATATATATATATATGGTTAAAAAATGTACCGAAATCAGTGTTGTCAATGTGTCAAACACACCCCCATGTAATGGAGAAAGCAGCTTCGTTCCTTTTACGGAGTGATTCTCTTTTTTCTGTGTCTTCTCCCAGTCTTTCTCTTTATCCTTGGTCAAACTTCATCTTCTTCAATTTTTCTTTTTTCTTTCAGAAAAAGCAAGAGTAAGACTCCATTATCTGGGGAGAAAGGAACGTCCATTAATATGGTCAGTAGAATTTTCAGTTTGCCACTGCCCTTTACCTTTACATTATATTACATATATTAAATATATACAGGGAGTCTTTACTGACGACGGAATCCCTCAGCTTGATTTTATCTGTAAGTCAGAATCCACAAACTATGCATAAGTATCTATGTGCTACGCCCCTGGCCTGTGGCCTCGACCTCTGGAGACAGAGAAAGCCTACATGAACAGTCTGTTGCAGGTGTACAGAAAGGAAAAACAAAAAACAAAAAACAAAAAATTACAACTCTTAACAAATCACTATTATTATATTATAATATTATAATATTCTAGTTTAAATTTACTAAAAATGTACTCCTGTTTAGTTGAAAACAACGCTGACGTACTGGCAGGAATTGAAGAAAGACACTCACAAAGACCTTCATCAACAGCTCTGATTATCTTTTCTAAGTTTTAATTACCATCTGCTGCCACCTACTGGAAGAAGATTTAATTGCTCTGCCTGTAACGCATTGACGAACAAAGTGTTGTTTTTTTTTTACATTATACGCTTGCAAATTTTAAACTTTTATTCCTATATTGGCTTACTTTAACCCTTTGTTTGCCTCTTGTTGTTATTGTTACAGGAATATTTTTAATATGATACAACATGAAGGGTATAAATCCTTCTTTCCTGACGCATAGATGCGTTTTGCAAATATATTTTATTCCTACTGGCAGTATGTGATAAAGAAAGACAACCTCAAACACCATTTGATTCTCTGAATTCTCCATTTTCTATCACTTCGTCAACATTTTTCCAACCAACCACCTCTTCCGCACAGCTTACAGCAAAAACCCATTCAGCCAACTCAAACATCTTGCTGCTGCACGCTCACAGCTCTCAGACAAAAACTGCAGGCCGTACCAAGGGTGTCAGCATTTAAATAGTCCCCAAGGATCATACCAGGAGGAGTAAGGAGGAAAAGCAGGAGACAAGGGAGGAAGAGAAAGCAGTTAGAGGTTAGAACACTCATATATAGTCACCTGGGCCGGCCCGGGAATGGTCCGTGGGTCAATTGGTACCGGGCCACACAGAAAGAATGCATAATTGATTATTTCTGTTTTATTTATTATCTGATTCTGAACGATGTTTTATTTTTGAAAAATTACCGGATGTGGCGCTTTGGCCCAGCGGCAATGTCTCTGTCATTGGTGTGGATCCCCAGGGTTCACCTCCTGGGCAAGATCGAATCCCGGTTAGGGTGTTTGGTACCTTCCAGTGGACTCACCACCCACAGGAAGGTTCAGGGGGGTTGGTACGGTGCAGTGTGATTTGGGTAGCGGTCATAGAGACTGCTGCCCCCGTGACCCAGTAACCGATAAGTGGATGAAAATGGATGGATGGATGGAAATTACCGGATTCTCTCCGCCGCATCTGTCTTTGACTCACACTCGACACATGTCAAGATGCTTGCCTCGGTCACAAAAAAAAAGCAAACGTCTTTGAAAAGTTTCTTTGCGCGGGATAAAAGAGTCAGTGAGAAGACAGAAGAAGCGCCTACGTCTTTTAAGAAAAAAAAAAGCTGCATTTAACAGACCGTTGGAGGTGCATTATCTCTGAATGAGTCACGCAGAGTAAGAGTGAAGTTTCTGTTCTGTGCCTGATCCACAGAATAATTAACGTTGTTACAATCTGGAGTAAAGGTTGAAGGCTAGTGGATGTGTTTTGGTGCAGTTCTGTGCACAGATCTAGCTGGTTGTAAAATATTTGTCGAATGTATCTCTTAAAAAGTAACAGGGAAATCAAATTGGGGGTATCTTGCCAACGGTAAGTTTTACATTTGAATGTGTGGCAGCTGAGATCATGATTGTTAACCAAGTAGGCGTCACACCTTCGTGAAATTACAGTTGCCCAGAGCCCGGGGAGAGTGTTGTGGTTGCTAACCAGTGTGAGTCTGCGTTAAAGGGCTATTGACTTCTGAGGAAGTTCACTGAGTGCAAACCATGCAAGAACAATGAATGTTGAGCTACACCCCCCCCCCGATGTACTTTTAGGAGCTCTAAAAAGCAACGCTTTTGTTTTTCTGTGTGTAATTTTGTTCGTCTTTACTAAAAAAAAAAAAAAAAAAAAAGAGGAATCAATCACAACATAGAGAGATATGAGCAAGAAATGTCGAAGATCAGAGGACATTTGAAGTTCACACGACGCACGAGCTCAACACAATAGAAAATATTTTAAAAGACTCTGCGTGAAGAGTTTGTTTGTCATAACCGCTACAGTCTGGTGGTTTGTCTGCGTTGGTTTTGTGGTGGTGAAGTAACCTTTGGAAAGTGACATTTTAATTGTGTATATGATTCTCTTTTCTCTTGCAGGATAGCAAAAGTTATGGCGCAATAAACAGCAGAGACTCTGTTAATGGCTTGCCTGGGGTCAAAGGGTCGCCTCTGTCCTCTTTAAACTCCACGTGTACCCAGAATTCAAACACGTCTGAGTGCTCGTCCGTACTGAAGATAAGGAAGGTAAACTATATGTGTCATTTTCAGGCGATTCGTTTATTAAGTTTGGTTTGTACCTAGCCTGTTTAGATATGGGGATGGATGGGCAATTGCAAAACGCCAAAACGAATTGACCACATTTTTGTTTGTAAGCAATTAGTGGATGTTGACCAGACCAGACCACAGATGCCAAGACTTACTTTGTTTTTAAAAGGTTATATTCACCGGCAGTGGGGAGCAGTATATCTGGAAGTCCCCAGAAGATGACCCTTTGCAACCACATTGTAAAGGGAGTGGACACCAAGGACACCCGAGTCTTCCTGCTACTGAGGAGGTAAAATCTGGGGGGTGGGGGGACGGTGGATGAACCATCCAGAGAAATGGACTGCCCACAAAAGAGGTCAAAAGAAAAGGGAGCAGGCCAGGTGAAATGGATGGAGAGAATTGTCAAGGATGATTGTGACAGAAGAATAGCAGCAAGGTTAAAAAGGCAGACAGGAGTGAGACCTGCGAAGATTTATTATTTAGACGAAGTGTCTCTGTCTATTAGATAAAGGCTGAGCCAGAGGTGGCAGAAATGAGGATTCTTAAGATTTTTACTGGGAGTTACCAGAATAGACAGGATTGAGAAAATGAGCAGCTACGGTTGAAGGCGCAAGATTGTGATTGAGTTTAGACATACTGAAGACATATAGGGAATTTAGAAGAGATGTTAGAGATAAAGTTGGCCAGCAGGAGTGGGAGCACCCACAGAAGATTTGTGGGTGTTGTGAAAGAGTACATGGAAATAGTTGGTATAAATGCAGAGGAGGCAGGGAATAGGGTGAAATGGAGCCAGATGATGAACTGTGGTGACACCAGAAGGGAACAGCCGAAAGAAGATCATCAAAAGTTGCATGCGTGGGTTATATTAGTTAGTTAGACATTCTGGATGTTAGACCAAACCACCGATGCTACCACTTTGAGTATTCATGTACTAAATCATAGGTGTCAAACTCAAGGCCCGGGGGCCAAATGCGGCCCACCAAGGTGTTTTGTGTGGCCCGCGGGAGCTTAAAAAGCATTTAGAAAATTCCATGCAGCAGAATTTCTTAACCTAAAAAATTAATAGTTTTTTTATTATTACACAGTAATTAACAAAGTCAATTAGTAAAAATTAAGCACATTTTTTTCACTTTTTCTCCATGTGGCCCAGTACCAAATGACCTATGGACTGGTACTGGTCCGTGGACCAGGGGTTGGGAACTCCTTCAATTTACAACTGGCCCTTCAAGGGGAACCGTGTTGCTGATGTGGCCCCCGGTGAAAATGAGTTTGACACCTCTGTACTAAATGATACATTTCTACAAGTCCAGTGGCTTTTCTTGATACCATACTCTCGTCTTTACTTTCAGATTGCAAACACGTACTCCATAATTATCAGGGCACGTAAAAAGAGGCCTCCCGTAGAAACGAGGGGATCGCAAACCCTCCCACGCTCCTTTGGGAGAAACAAAAGTTCCCAATTTCAAACAGTCCAGGACCAAGCGTGTCCACAAAAGGAGCCCAGCCCTGAGCCTATAGGAAGCTGTACATGGGTCGCATATGCAACGCTCAAGCGCCCGCGTCAAGATAAGGTGGAGAAAACCAATAACAGCACAGCTCCGGAGGATGTCATAACACTGAACAAAAAGAAGCAACAGCAGCAGCAACGTGGAGCACCAGCAGAAACCCAAGAGTCAGAACCTAATGCCCTGCATTTCACAGGCCTGCACAGGGTGGAGAACTTTTGTGAGACCGTCGGCGATGTAAAACCAGGGTCCGACAGCACGTGCAACACCACCATCTTCACGTTTAATGATGGCATGGAGATGTATGTCACAGGCCTGTAGCTTACTGTCAGTGAGAAGGGGGGCCTTGAACCTCGTGTTTTAGCGTTCCAACGACAGCAAAGCAACAGAACTGGGATTCGTTGTATTATACTAAACATTTGAAAAACACCCGTCACTGACTGTACTTTTTCGATTGATATACCTTTATTTTGTGAGAACACTGTAATGTCAAGAGTAAATGCAGAGTAATACAATCATCTATGTAAATAAAAACTTGTCCTACTGCCAATCTATTGAAAAAAAAAATATATATATATATATGTATATATAAAGTTGCAGCTGATGGACATGAACCTGATAGGTGTAGCCTTCCAGACGATACAATTTTAATACACCATCAAAAAATCACAACACGGTTCCTCGAACACCAAGTTAGACAGGAAATAAGGACAGGGGCCTAATGGCACTGTCATGGCCGTCAGAGATTTAGGTGCATGAAGTGTTTCACAGTAGTACTCCTTACTATATGTCGGTGATTCCCAACCACTGTGCTGTGTGAGAAAAAACTAGGTGTGCCACAGAAAATGATCCAATTTCACTTAATTGTTCTGAAAACTATTATTCATTTATTGCAAATAATTTTCCTTTGTCCGTCAACGCATAGTGACAGGCAGAACAAATACTCTTCCACTAGATGGCAGCAGATTGCTATAACTAAAAAAAAACAAAAAACTCTGAGCTGTTGAAGATATTTGTCTTTCTTCAATTCCTATGAGTATATCAGTGTCGTCTTCAACTAAAGAGGCTGTGATTTCACACCATGTTAGTAAATTGTGAGAATTTACACTAAAAGATTAGAATATTTTATTACATATACTTTTTGTGATATTCTGGTTTGGTGGTGTGCCATGTTTTTGTTTTGTTTTGTTTTTTTATGAAAAATGTGCAGTGTCAATATACAAACTCAAGAATTGAAAAATCCAATGTTCAACTCAGCCACAAAGTCCGAAAAGAGAATAGGAGGTCGTTTTCCACTCAGGATCGTGTTGAAGGTTGTAAAAAAGTCGAGTTCAATTTAGCTATTTATTAAAATTTAACAACTTTCTGGTCTTTAACATATGGTTTATAACCTCTTCAGTAGAATGTGATGTCAATTTTGTAAATAATAAAAGAAATTCCAAACCACCTCTTTCATAGCACATAATTCTATTGTGTCATTAACATCTGATATTACCGTATGTTTCGGACCATAAGGCGCACCGGGTTATAAGACACGTTAAGCAAAACAAAACAGTCAGTGAAACAATTAAGCGTAACCAAATCAAGCATGTCGGGATCCCTCTCGTCAATATCCGAGTCAGTCTCGTTGCTGTTACTCAGCCGTTCAGTGATGATTACGGCCTTGGTGAAAGCTTGGACGACATTTGAGACCGATGCCTTAGCCCAGGCATCCACGATCCATTAGCAGATAGTGGCGTAACTCGCCCTCTGTCTTAGTGAATGTGCGAATTCTTTGGTTAATCCACCCAGAATGATGGCAAGCCCCGAATTAGTTTGCTAAGTGCAGCAAAATACACATTTTGTCATGTTTGCTCTTGGAGAGGAACACAGAGAAGACCCAAATGCAGCACTCAGAGCAGAAATCAGGTGAGAATAAAGTAATTTATTAAATGTGCTAAAAAGTCCATGTGAAGTGGGTGAGTGACAGGGGATTTGCAGCCGGGGAAAAAGATCTAGAGCAGCAGTCCCCAACCTTTTTTGCTCCACGGACCGGTTAAATGACTAGGATTTTTTTCCACGGACCAGCCTTTAATAAAATGATACAAGCGTCATAAAATCTGGTATTTAATAAATATAATAATAAACGTTAAGCCACTGTGTATGCAACTTTATTAGCAGTAACATCCTCGTAACATCTAGCTCGTCTTTCAATGCAGAATGCCTGGTCTCCTAGTGGCGAAGAAGTTTTGAAGGCTCCACTGCCTCATTAGAGAGCCGTTCGCCGCATATTATGCAGTGTATGGGAAACCTGTCACAATAAATCTACATTTCAAGTAGGACTCCTGGAATTGTCTGTAAAACGCAGCTTTCTTTTTTCTTTGAAGACTTTCACTGATTCTTTTTACACAGCGCAAAGAAACTTTCCAAAGACGTTTGTTTTTCTGTTCATTTTGCTAGCTTGACGTTTTCAACTGAACGTGGAATGTATCTGCATCTTGACATGTATCAAGCGAGAGTCGTAGAACGGGAAGGTCATCGTTCAGAATCAGATAATAAATGAAACGGAAATAATGTAAGTTATGCAGTTCTTTCCGTGCGGCCCCGTACCAATTGACCCACAGACCGGTGCCGATCCACAACCCGTGGGTTGGGGACCACTGATCTACAGGACCCGACAAAAGGCAAGACAGTGATGAGCAAGGAGGTGAAAGGCTCTGAGTGACAACAGTGCTGAGGCAGGGTGCTGATTTAAGGAGACCAGAATGCAGCACCATGGACAGCGGCAATGAGCAGGAAAAAAGACGATGGTACTGTAAACAATACCTAAGTTTCATCAGACCTATAGATGATCTTCCAATGACTGACCATGTGAAGAGTGGAATGACCTGGCACTGTGTGAAGCAATCAGCCTTGATTCAGTGCTGCCGAAGTCTTCAGTCCACAATTACACACAGAAAACACAAAACCAGACCTACAGTGACAACAAACGGAAAACACCTTCCACACGCTAGTCCATAGTCCATATCTGAACAGAACCCCGACACATCTAGATATATACATACATTATGTAATTCATAGCACCAGAGCAGCTAAAAGAGGCACACGTTTCTAGTTGTTGTTTTTTTTTTTCTGCGTTTCAAGCTGAGCACGCAATACAGCAATACAGTTAGTCGCGCCACACAAAATGGATGACGCGTAATTAGCCTGTGAAACACCGAATTAGTATTAGCATGGGCGACGTGTTAACAGCCATTCCTTTTCCAATAAATGTTTGGGTTTATCGACATACCTCGTCTCCTTTACTCACTCAACTCCGGACTCTATGCTGGTAAGTGTGCTGGTTTATCTTTTTCCTTTCACAACGTACTCGCCGTTTTCTCCTTCCTCCAAGCACCTGCCTTCCTTCCCGCTGCTGGTATCCGAAACGACTGAGGAAATAGCGCGTCTACACGTCAACTCCTCGCTGATAGGCTGAACGTGACGTGGTGCATTCAAGTATAATAGGACATTTGAAACGTTGTCGAAGTGCACGAAAAAGATTGATTAAGTATGCACTCTTTTTTTTTATCGGTCGCGTATGTCGTTCCATGGTTACTTGTCGGCCGCTGTGATGTTATTTGACAGACAAAAATGAAATCAAACATGTTTCATTTTATTTTAAAACAGCACCATAATCTACAAATTTAGAATTAAAGATGAAAAAATTAACAAACTAAAATAAATAAAAGTGAATTAATTAAAATTGAAAATTAAATGGCATGGTGCTATCTAGTACGTTTGGTAAATGCAAATTTTCAAAAAAAAAGTTTTAAAAAAAGTGTTACTATCTGTCTGACGGAGAGAAATGAATTCCCTGAGATAAAAATCTTTTCAGTGGCTACTGTGTGCTTTATGCTGTAGGCTTTTTTTTCTGAATAAGGGTTGCAGCAGAGAGACTGAAATTCTTCTTTCATTTTTTATGTCAAGTTTTGATCTTTATTTGGTCCATCTTTTGGCATGCCCCCTTAGAAACCACTAATACAGTATAAAGTCTGTGTCCTATTGAAAAGACCATGTAAAAACCTTGAGCTCCAGGCAGTAAAACTGCAAACATCTAATAAATATAATAATAATAATAATAATAATACAATGTCACGTATCTGCGTTCATAGTTCGAACGTTATTCGAGATTCCAATTTTTTTAAACCTTCAACCCATAATACATCTGTAACACAGCAAAAATATTTCATTTTTTACATTGCAAGGACTGGAACAGCCGTGCGTAGCATAATTATGGCATACTTAACACAAACACAAAGTTAAAAAAACACTCACAGGTAAGAGAGAGAAATGTGGTCCCCGAATCACGATTTGTCTTCTTTAACGCCTTACAATAATTTGCATTTCTAATCTGCTCTGTGCGATCACTTTTTACGTTTTCGTATTTACACAGTCATGAGCACAGAGATGAGCTGAGGCACATACTGAGGGGTGGTAAGTGGATCTTTTCGTCAGGTACATGAAGCGCAGGTACAGTACAGAGAAAACTCTCACTGGCAACATTGCATTCTTTCTCCTCTTTTTTTCACTTAAACACAATTTCCTTTTCTTTCTTTCTTTCTTTTTTCAAATGCAGCAAAACACAAAACAGTTTACTAATGATATAGACAGCATTAAGAAAGTATCATTGCAGCACGTTACTCAGAAGGTGATTGTAGGAAGAGCAGTTTGTCAACTGGGGGTTTCCACAGCAGGAACTAGTACCAGAAATGATTTTTTTTTTTCTCCCCTGGCAGTAGCTCAACTCAGCCCTCAAAGAGTCGTTTTTATAAGGCAAGACCGTCAGGAAGTACAAATGTAACTTGCTGTATTCGATTCAGTCGTTATGTTGAAAATTCATAGGAACCAAACTGAAATACTTTCTGTGCATAGAGTACAAAAGAAGACTTTGGACTGAAGGATCGAGGAGAAAGTCCAAGCACCTTTGCCCACTTTAAGTCAGGAAAACATGCCAAGAGGAATGTAACCTGTGGTGCTGGACATACTGTACACACATATATATATGTATATGTATATATATATATATACATATATATTTATATATATATATACACACACACACACACATATATATATATATATATATATATATACAGTATATATATGTATATATATATATACTGTATATATATATATATATATATATATATACAATATATATTCAATGTTCCCTCTCTATGTCGCGGTTTCGCTCCCCCGGTACTTCGCAGCTTTTTTTTTTAAAATCCAATCTTGTGAATTTTCGCTATAATCGCGAAATATAGCAAAAACTGAACTAAAAGGCATCATAAAATAATTACAAATTACAAACGTTTTGGCTTTAAAAATGTGGATTCGCGCATTTGCGAACGATCGCAAACGGTAGCTAGGGAAGGTTGATAACAGTGTGGGGAGGTTCGTGAAGGGTAAATATATATACGTGAATAATATACTAACCATGTCGTCCCTACTTTGTGATTTTTCCAATTTCGGGGTGGGTCTTGGAACGCAACTACCTCGATAGGAGAGGGATCACTGTATATATATATATATATATTTCTTTTTTTAATCAAATGTAAAGGAACCACAGAAAGTCACAGCAAGCAAGACCCATTTAGTATCTTCAATATGGTTCCCGGTACAAGTGTAATAGGATGTAAAATGGCTTATGGCACCAGAAGTAGTATGAGGACATGTGCAACTATTTCCCAGAGTTGTGTTTTTTTTTTTTTTTTTTAGTTTATAAAAAACAGGCCATTAAAACATGGGTATAGGGACACACACAACACGTCGATACACTGTATGTGCATTCACACGCGTTGTTCCTAGGGCTTTTATTACGCCGCATGTGTGCACTTTGTTCAACAAATAGCATGTGTAAAGTCATTGCCTGTTGTTGTTGTTGCTGTTGGTTTGACATTCCTGTAGAGAGACTTTTGAGAGAGAGGGGGGCAATTTCCTTACTTTTTTTTTTTTTCCCTAAAAGAAAAACAAACAACCCGGCAACATAGATCATATAAACAGCTAATTTGAATTTTTTTTTTTTTTTTTTAAATTACAACTTAGTTTGACCATGTACCAAAGCGAACACAAAAATGAAAAAGTTCAAATCCATTCAGAAGTGAATTCTTTAAAAAAAAAAAAAAAAAAAACGGTCCTCATGCACAGCTCCTTATAACCACAACAACAGATGTCCAGCCAGTGAGCTGATAGATGGTTTTTCTAGCATTAGTTTGACCTGAGCAATTGTGTGGGCCAGATATGGCTCCCACTTGCCCTCTACCAACATTTGGGCAGTTTATGTCTGACCCACAGACATAAGCACATTTTGGTTCACCTTCTGTCCTCCTTGCAACCACACACCTCACAGACACGAATGCACATTTTAGGGTACAACGGTTTTTCCAACAATGGCTATATGTGAAATATATATTTGGGTCTTGACAAGCCTTTTAGCATGCGACGCCTCTGTCCTAGTCCACAGGACATGTCAACCTCTGTCAACACAGAACAACCCACTGTGTGACACATTAAAGCAGTGTTTCTCAAACAATGGGGCGGCCCGCCCTGGGGTGGCGTAGTGAGGTGCCGGGGGGGGGGTGAGTTGGGGCGTGAGAGGCTTCCATTGGAATATGGCACGCTGGACAGAAGAGTGCTGCTGCTGCGATGCTTGACCGATGAACAAGCCTCCAGTCACTAGGTGGCAGCACCTCATACAGTGGTTTGTGCAGACAAGAAAGAAAATACATTATTATCAGGTTCTCAATAGTATTTCAATTCAGGGGAGGAGGGGGCGTGAAAACAATTCTGTCCACTAGAGGGGGCTGTGGCAGAAAATAATTTGAGAACCACTGCATTAGAGAGCCTTTTGTGTACCTCTTTAAGCCTAGGACAAAAGTTGAAACAACCCAAATAAATAATACAAAGAAGACAAAATCATTAATAGTTGAATAGTGTACAAAAGTGATGCAAAAAGGCATGCATAAAACCGGGTTTAATTCTATATCTAACACCGGGGTTCGCCGGCGTATTTGGAAAAACAAAGACGAAATGAAAGAGAGAGAAAGCATAAACTGGCCCGACAAAGGTAAATAAAAGCCCCATGGCTTCCTGTCCACGATAAGAAAGGGTATAAAAGCTGTCTTTTACAAATACAATTTATAAAATATCAAAAAAACAACAAACGATAAAGCTTAGCATCCAACAGAAATGAGCGCACTGATGAATATAGTAAGAGAAAAAGTCTTCCGCCTTGACTCACTCGAAGTTGTTGGAAAACAGGAAAACATCATAAATAAATCACTAAGGACACACGCATACGTACGTGAGGGAATTATTATCCCTTTTAAAAAAAAAACCATAGAAATCCGTTAAGGTCTTTTTCAATGCCTAGCTGTTAAAGATAGCACTCTACAATGTACAAATATAAAAACTATTCCTTAAAGCACAAGTTTTGATAACATTCTTTGCAATCCAAATAAAGCCGGCCTGACAATATAACCACCAAGATAAAACAAAAATCTTTTTTAAGACTTTAGAGCAGAGGTCTCCAAACCCCCAGGTCGGGGACTAAAGCCGGTCCGTATGTTTTTTGGTACCAGGCCGCTAGGACTTCAGTTTTACTAATTTACTCCATTCAGTTTTTTTTGGTACCAGGCCACTAGGACTTCAGTTTTACTAATTGACTCCAGTCATATCCCTTCAATTTTTTTAATTTAAAGATAATCTGTCAATGTTTCAATTTTCATGTTTCAACATTCAGACTCTGATGCTGACAGAATAAAGTCTAAAAGAGGTTTTATTTTTAAAATGAAATGATCCTTGCCCGACCGATCCTTGGTACACAAAAAAGATTGGGGACCGCTGCTTTAGAGGGAAACAAAAGGGCTAATGTTGGTCATTGCGTTCGATCAAATAAAATAAGCTTTTTAAACAGAAAAGTGCGGAAAATAACAATAATCCAGCATGCAACGACGTAACTGGTAGAAAAATTGTCAAAAAAAAAACAAAAAAAAAACATATAAATAAACCTTTCGATGGTCACAGCAGACTCTGATGTGCTTTGTACAAAAAAAAAAAATCAATTCCACTCCTTATATATCTCAGCGGGTTAGCGTCTGATGAACTGGTTTTACCCATTGCACTCAACTTAGCCGTCCATGAAAATAAACTAGGTCTCTCTTCACTGTCGCACTACACACACACACAAATACACAAATTACACCTAGTCTTTTAGATTGTTCCGGAAAGGGTTAAAGTGTGCGGTGGTTAAACACAGCAGAGTAATTGATTTAAATCAAGATCAGAGGAGCCCATTGACTGGAAGGCACAGGCCTTGTAAGCATCAACCTGTACAAACATTCATTATATGTTTTTTTTTTTTTCATCGCGGTATTAAAAACAGTCAAGAGGACATCAAGGTCGGTACAGTCTTTGTTTTGTTAAGTTAAGGTTAATTACCAAAAAAAAAAAAAAAAAAAAAAAAAATGTAAACCATAAGTTTTGAAGGTCAAATAAGAAGTCAGTTGTGTATTTAAAGTGCGCATCTCTGGCAGTAGAACTCGTGGAGCATTCCGTGTGTGTGTGTGTGTGTGCCAATGTACTTGAGTGGTACGCACTTCTTTTCCCACACGTAGCTCTGAAAAATATTCAAGGCTTTTCCTTTATTTGATAAAAAGATGCTTTCATCGGGGGAGACGATTCAGCGCAGGTCCTCTCTCTCGTCAGCGCTCCCCGACCCGACGCTATCCCTGTAGATTGTAAGGTCAAACGGACAGAAATGACAGTCCTGTGCCTTGGCATTGGCAGCTTGTTTTGCTGATTCCTGCAGTAGCAGTACAAAATCACCTGCGGTCTCCGTCGGGTCCGGACTGTAAAAAGTCAAAAACGAAAAAAAAAAAAAAAAAAAAAAAAAAAAAAAAAAAAAAAAAAAAAAAAAAAAAAAAAAAAAAAAAAAAAAAAAAAAAAAAAAAAAAAAAAAAAAAAACCCAAAACACTGCATATGAAGTAAAAGGAGGTTATGAAGTAAAAGGAGGTAATAGGCTCATCTGACAACCTTCCACCCATTGTGCTTCCTCCTTTTTCCCGTGTCGGCCAATACTGAGGCGAGAGAAATCAATGTTCTTGCGTGGGCACTCACACCATTCAGAGGATTAAAGATGGTTGAGGATAGTCGTCCACATCAACCCGTACTTTCTTTTCACTGTAAAACCTCCCGTTGTTGTGAGCAGTTGATGGGAAGAAGCAGCCAGAAATTTTTCAAAGACCCTTCGGAATCTTTTGGAATGCCACTGACGAGAACCAGTTCTAGGAAATCCACGCGAAGTCCCGCTCGCTTCCCTTCTGCTGTTCACCCTCCTGCGCGGACAAGTCACTCTCCTCCTTCTCATTGTCCAGTGTCTGGTGCGTCTCTGTGGTCATTCTCGAGGCCTTCCACTTCACTCCCGCGTCCATCTCCCCTTCTCTCAGTATCTCCCTGTCTCCTTCCACCACCATCTCCTCCTCCCCGTCTCCGTCGCACTCCCCCTGCTCATCGTGAAAACGGTCCACGGGATACAGCTCCTCTTCCGGTGAAATGTCACCGCCCACCTCGCCGCTGTGGTCCAGCAAGGTTGCAATGTCGCCGCCCGAGCAACTGGCGCAGATGCCGTGTCGCCGGGAGCCGTGTTTGATCCCGACGCTGGCTGCTGACATGAAGACTCGGCTGCAAACTTTACACACGTACTTTTTGTCTTTGCTGTGGACCTGATGGGGGCGACAGATGAACAAGACATTGTTGTGTGTTAGAGATGCGGGTCAAAAGGTCGACATAATCTTACGTTCTACCAAGAAGTGCGGATGTTGCCCACAGCCTTTATTATTCCATCACTGCAGCGTTTCGGCTCCACTAAGTACAGCACGGTGTAAGAGCACTCCCTGAAAACAAATGCATCCACCAGGGGGTCCTTTTACAGCACCACTGTTCTCTGCCTAAGAGGTGGGGCATTTAACAGTACGGAAGTTCTTCCTGTTCGCTTTCCAGGGCAGATTTTCTCTTGGTAGTTAAACAAGAAGAAGGACAAGACCGAAGCTTAGAAATTTCAAAACTGTAAGTTCGAGGCACAAGATTTCAAAATGAGGTAGATGAGTCGTCCTCAATCTCAAGCATCCTTTCCCCCCGATATATTCACTCTCTCTTCCTAACACCCATCCAAACCATCTCAACCTCATCTCTCTAACATTATGTCCAAACTGCTCCACCTTAACTGTCCCTCTGATCTGCTCATTCCTAATCCCGTCCTTCCTGGTCTCTCCGGGTGAAAATCTCTGTCACCTCCAAACTCAGCCTTTTGTCTATTAGACAGAGCCACTGTCTCGAGACCAAACATCATAGCAGGTCTCACTACTGACTTTAAAAAACTTCCGTTTCAACTTTTCGGCTATTCACGTGTCACCAATCCTTTAAATGCACCGTCCTTTTGCTACCTCTGCTCCTTGCAGTTCTATCATTCCCACGAGCCTCACCCTCACCCTCACCCTCACATACAGACGCAATCTGTCTTACTACCTTGCTATGTTTCACTCCTCCTCGCTCCGAAGTAAACCTCCACCTCTTCAGGTTTTCTTCCACCTGCATCATGGTCTATTGGGGCCTCCTGCCTGACCCCATCTGTCAACCTATCCATCAACATAGGAAAAAAAAGTGATCTTCAATCAGGTAGAACCTAATTACTGTCACACTGACCTTGTTAATGTCCTACACCACCCTCACATATTTCTCTGCCACTCCTTCCTATCACCTTTTCAATGTAAATGTACTATACCTATGCACATTACCCGTGTTTGGTTTCTCAAAATCCAAATAACAAAACCTCACTGGAAAAAAAGAACCAGGCAGGAACAAAAGTATGAGTTGGCATCAACCAGGAACTAGAAACGAGAATTATAAAACATGGCATAGACAAACTATCCAGAACATGAAGCATGGAGCCAGTCACAAACAACATGGACTCAGAACAACGATCCGACCAAGACAGAGTGAGGCAGAGAGGTGCATATACCCAGGACACCAGGTGGCACCAGTGAGACTGATGACAGAGACACAGAGGTGAGTGTGATCACAACCGATTAAACCACACAGCAGACACACCAGGAGGGACGGGGACGGACAGACGTCACAGTGGAACAGATCGCCGACCCTTGGTCTACACCGTACTAGAAAAGCTTGAACCCATCTCGAATGTTCCTAGCCTTGCTTTCCTTTACTCTGGTCTCCTGAATTGTTCCATTGTTGAGATGGACAAATGGGCTGGGGACAAGACACTTCAGTTTTCCCTCCTTAGGGTTCTGCCACCCCCAAGATAAATGCACGACCGAACTACAATGAAACAATAAGCCAACGATCGCTTGACGCCGTATCAACAAACGTCAAACAAATCCGAACATATTAAGGTTACTCTTCAGGTCAAATGCTGCCCCCTTTTGGTGACAGCGTGCTTCTCCTCACCAGCGTGTGCCTCTTCATGTGCTCCCTCCTGGTAAACTTCTTGCCACAGATGTCACAGGGGTACGGCCTCTCGCCCGTGTGAGAACGCATGTGGCGCTTTAGGATGCACTGGTGCATGGCAGAAAAAGTGCAGTAGGGACACTTGAACTTCTTCCGAATCACCGTGAAGTCATTTACTGAAAAAGAGGAAGAAGACGAAGAAGGAGACACAAAAAGATAAACACTTTAACAAAGCCACTTGAAAAAGCAAGACATCAATTTTCAGTTATCGGTTTTAATTAGAAACATTGCGTTGAAAGGTACTTTCAATTCCCATGGCCACTCTGATTAGTCAGAGGAACTGTTGGCCTGGCAACAGCTTCTTCTCTACACTAAAGCAATCGCAGCAAGAACACTCGCTCACAATAGTCTGCTCTGGTTACTGCTACAGTTGGCCATCATAGATGTGTGGATATCTGCTATTCACATTACCACAAAATCTAAAGTCTAAAAAATGTGGTTTAACTAATACTATTTGTTTCCAATAGCTACATTCTCTTTTTTTTCTAGAATGATCAGAGCTCGAACATTGACCAGAATTCCTACAACACACGTCACCTTGATGAAAAAAACAATTATCCGTTGCGAATAATTATTTTTCAATAACGTAATAAGTAATTTATTGTAAAAATATCTGTAGTGGTTTTAGTTGAGAAAATAAAGCTTTAACGTGAATCCACACTTAAACATGAATACATAATAGTTTAAAAAAAAAAAAAGACAAATGGACAGACAGCAGCTACTACATCGATTAGCCAGCAGTAATGCGACATTTTTCCACGAGTTTTACGTGAGTATTCACGCATATGACCTATAGGTGTCAACAATATGGCTTCAGATTTATTGTATACATATAAAGTGATCAGCAACCCCTTGATTAGTTACGTTGACATTATTTTTAACCTGGTCATTTGCATGAGTACTCCTGATCTATTCTACAAAAATACTAAAACTCAACTAGGAGACCAGACCAGGGGACACGAGGACACAACCACTAAACACATCCATCTATGAGGCTCTAGTCTACGAAAGATTAAGAGCGATTCATTAGCAATTACCTCCATTTCCACTTGGACTTTAGCATGACAGCGAACCAACAATACACCTCCATTTACACTCAAATTTCATAAATAATTATTTTTTAAAAAAATAATTAAAAAAGGCACAAAATCGAGCTGAAAAAAAAAATAATTTAAAAAGGCGATTAAAAAAGGCACAAAATCGAGCTGAAGAGTAAAAGTGAGTAAAGGAAGGTTAAGGTTCGGCAGATACAACAGCAGCAGATACATAACAGAGGTTGAGAATCAGTGAGTTATTTGGGGTTTTTTTTAGAGCGGGTTTGCTAGTTTAGTTAGTTTTCTTTTCTTTTTTTTTCTAAATGCTTGTTATTTTGTGGTGCCTTGGCCCAGCGGCAATGTCTCTGTCATTGGTGTGGAACCCCAGGGTTCACCTCCTGGGCAGGTTCAAATCCTAGTCAGGGTGGTTGGTACCTTCCAGTGGACTCACTACCCACAGGAAGGTTCAGGGGGGTTGGTACGGTGCAGTGTGATTTGGGTGGCGGTTATGGAGACTGCTGCCCCCGTGACCTGGTAAAGGATGAAAATGGATGGATGGATGGATGGATGGCTTATTATTTTTGTTTAGTTTTTATTAGTTTCAGTATTAATTCTCTTTTCCGTACTTTAGGTCTTTGTGAAATGTAGGATTCATTACTGTTTCGTGAAATTCAACACAGGATACCATTCGAGTCCTGGGGGTTAGGGGAACAGACTCTAAGCTAGCATAGAGGTTTTCCCATTGTCCCTTTGTGGACAGAGTCCTGGGGGTTAAGGGGTAACAGACTCTAAGCTAGCATAGAGGTTTGTTGTTGGATCCGGTCCCGCATCACTTTGTTGGTATGATACTGTGCTCTGACTCTTCAGTCACGTCGACATCACCATCCACGATCAAGACTTTCATGAGGTTCAAATCCCCAGGGACAATGAACGTGATGTCTGGAGGTCACATCACTTGCTTGTCCGTGAAGATAAGAGCACACAAACTCCCTTATGTCCCGCTGGGTTGTAGTTCTGGCTCTCCTCCATCCTTTAGTGAGTGCACATGTGTCGGCGGCAGGCTACGTAAACGGAGGTCTTGTGGCTCTAGCCTTTAGCTGTGCATGTAGCCCCTTCTCTTGCATCCGTCCCTTGGGAGTCCTGCTCGTCAGATGGGCTCAGATGCTGCTTCTCCTGCTTTGGTTTTGCTAGCTGGAGCTGGCCGGGGTCGATACGACATCGATACAACGTGATGATCCTCGCCTACATCCGAGAGTTTCTTCGCGCTGTAACTTAGTAAAACATACGTGAGATTCACACGGACGCATCAAGGTGCGTTGGTGTTAGGACAAGGTGCAACAAAACCATTGACCACAGCAGGCGCCGTGTTACCAATCATTGTGTAAACGCAACCTTACGAGTCGTCATTGTGTGAAACATTATGGTATCCGTGGTTACGCGCCAAAAGTTGGATGCTGTGAGCTCAGTGGAGATGTTGGTGAAAGGATGAGAAGAGACAAAGAGTTGCCCGGGAGCTACGGTATGGGGTGAAACAAAGGGATCCACAAAGTTTGTATGGTTAGGACATGACAACGGAAGGAGATATAGGATTGTAGAGCAAGGAGAGATTGTTGCAAAGAAGTTCAGGCTAGTGAGGGTACGATATCTGTGGAAGAGAGTGGAAAGAAGAAAAGGAAAATAAAGGAAGAGGTGTTGCATCAAAGTTCAGAGAGAAGTTGAGAAAAGATCTCCAGGGAGGTGAGAATAGAGGAAAGATAGGGAGGTCTCTATTGTCATTACACTTGCTTTGTACCATTTTCCATCTATATAGGACATATATATATATATATATATATATATATATATATATAGATGGAAAATGGTCAAAGATATTCATATAGGACATTCACTCAAACCTTTAGCAAGTCTAACAGTTCTCACCAAAGAGAGAAGAGAAGGTCCATTTCATTGTAAAATTGGGTAAACAAAAAGGAACAAAACCATTTGTTATTAGCTCCGGGGAAAACACAACGTCTGTCTCCAGGTCTGGACTGTACACTCAAGGCATTAGCAGTTAAATGAGAGTATGAGGAAGAAAAAAAAAAAGTCTAAACAGCAGTTGGTAGTACAAGAGCTGAGGAGCAGAATTGAAGATCAACTTTGTTTTTTTTAAGATTTCTAAATAAATTATTATATATTAACACCTGTAAAACGATTATTAAATTTTAATATAATATATAAATATATAATTATTGTATATTAAATAATAATTTAATCATATTTTTTGTCTTCTTGTGCTTTGCATCCCCAGAGAGAGAGATGAGAGTCAAATGTGGAAAATAATTTGGTGAACCACCTTGTGTATACGTGTTATCTGAACCCTGACGACAGAATTGTGACCAAAAAAATGATATATATATATATACATATATATATATATAGACACCCCATTAAATAGTAAGCCTTTCATTAAGAAATGTTCACATATCATCAATGTCTAATATTATTTTTTATTGTGAATTAGAATTAGAAAGTGATTTAATAGCAATTTTATATTAAAAAAATTACCAAAAATTACCAAAAATTACCAAGATATGAACAAATATGCATATTTTAATGGAGGAAAAGGTTAGGATACCCTACCCCTTAATTTGTTTTGGTTCCACTTGCAGATCTAAATCATCATTCTGTAAACATCCAACTGATGTATGTCAATCACACACTAATAACAATCCCATCATTTACCAGCATCCTCACTACAATATTATGAAGGTCCCAACCTGACTCAAGTAACAGCAAAGGTGACTGTTTGTCAACAATTAAAAAGAACGAATCGATTCAGAAAATGATCGGATTAATGTTCGAAAATATTAGTCTTATTTCTATCTATATTTTTGACATTTGGTCTTTTTGTTCAAAGTGTGTTTTCATTCACCTGATTTGTGTTATCGAACAACAAAAACCCTTGGCTTGTGTGCCTGGAGCTGTTGTGATGTCACAGAACTAGGAGGGCGACTACGGTTACGATGCAGCGCCAACAGTTATTGTACTTTCAACTAACAATTATTCTTAAGCTACAACTACGTATCGACGCAACATAGGAACGGGCCTTCGTTGTTAAAATGTCAATAAAATATTTAATACCTGCAAATGCATCATGTTAAATACTCCAAATTGTAACGACAATTTTAATAATAACAGAATAACGGGCTGCATACAAAAACAAAGGCTAATACGCCGCTGTTGTGCTCTCACGTTATTTCACATCCCTGAAATCCTCACTACCCCTTATTTATTATTGCAAACGGTGAAATGTGTTTTCCTACTAAAAGAGAACCCCAATTTATTTTGACATTCTCGGCCAAAGGTTAAGAAGAATCGGAGCCATTAAGCTCTAATGAGTTTTTTTTTCTTTTCTGTTGGAGTGAAAACAGTGTTGTACGGATGTTGTCATTAAGCTCTAATGAGTTTTTTTCTCCCAAGCTGTTGTGAGTGAAAACAGTGTTGTACGGATGTTGATACCAAGAACCTCTGGATCCTGATGCAGCAATGCAAGAGGAAGTGATCGTCCTCGTACCTACCGTCGTTGAGCAGGAAGTGGAATCTGTGGTAATATGGAAAGGTTCGATTTTGAATCCTTTCACTTAAACCGGAGGTTCCCAAAGTGGGGGGGGGCACTACGGGGTGCTGCAGTGCCACTGTAGGGGCGGTTAGTTAGTTAGTTATTTTTTTAAGGGTTAACTTTAATTTCTTGTAAAAGCCGCCAATGTGGACACATAACCCTGTCCCTGGATACTGGCCATCCTTTTACTGCCTCCCAGTATAATCCCTGGCATGGACAGCACGGGGCAGCACATTTCAAAATGTGTAGCCAGGTTCTGCGTGGTGCTGAAGTCCTTAGCACAGGCGGGACAAGTGTGTCTTACTTTGGAGTGCATGGAGGACACGTGCCTGTGCAGATCGGTGCGGTCCCTGAAGTGCTTCAGACAGTGAATGCACTTCAGCAGCTTCTTTTTCAGGTGGATGGTTTTCTCGTGGCGGCTTGCGTTGGACTTAAGCGTGAAGCGGGCGGGGCAATGGGAACACGAGTAGCGTCCTGGCACGGACATAGCCACGGTGGAGCGGTAAAGAGACTGGTGGAACTGCAGCTCCGGCAGCGGGGCTTGGTAGTGCAAACCCTTGACACCTGCCCAGTCGTGGGACATTTGAGGGACGGTGTGGTGGTACTCGTGAGCTCTGAGACGCTCCCGGCTGCTAAACATCTGTTTGCACAGAGAGCAGGTGAACTCCTGGGAGGACCATGGACCTCCAGGCTCTGGCAGGGCATCTTTTTTTTCCAAACTAGACCGTTTAGCCGAGGACTTCAGACCATCATTCTCTCTGCCAGCTACAAATGCTGACGCAGTCAGTCCACCAACACTGTTTCTGTTAGCCGTCGGATTCTTCTCCACGGGCATCGGGTCACCTGCCAAAACTAAAAGGGCAAGAAAAAGAATTAAAAGAGTTTATCATCTAGTTAATATATTTAATTGTTGTCTCACCTGGAACATGCAAAGTAAAATTGACTTAGCTGGAAAGGCATTGGTCAATCAGGAAATCCGATACCTATCTGCTGATACCTATATCAATCCGATACTTTCTCTTCTCTGGCTGCCATCGCTAAGGCGTTGGCGTCCGTGTTTACAACGTGTTTAGTTGAGAATCTGGACTTAGGTATCGGAAATGGCAGGCTACAAGCTGCGTCTTTCAATTTGGATCCTAACATTTTGACCAATTTCGGACTGATCCCAAGACTAGTATTGGATCGAGTCATCCCTGTTTTGAACTCATTTCTTTCTACGTAGTAGTTATAAATCAAGTACTGGTTTTATCCATTGTTCAATTCTTAAAAACAAACCTGTGGTGATCTTCCCCGTGTCCCCTCCATCATCTTCGCCCTTTAAAGGTAAGAAACTGGGTTACCGTACAAAAACACAAGTAGGTTGACACAGGCTCTGCAAAACCATCTGGACACACAGCCTACATAAGAGACAACCAAAAAGCAACAGGTTTATAACAAAGTACCACGGAGACAAGTTGCTAAAGAACTAAAAAGCAACAGGTTTATAACAAAGTACAACATTTCCAAATTAAAATATTGATAAACATTAAAACGTCTACCTTCCCAGTCCCTCTTTTCTTCCCCCTCTACTGTCTCCCGCATTTCCCCCATATCTCTCTTTGCCAAGGCAGACGGCAACACTGATCCTGGATCTGCTGGAGATTTCCTCCTGACAAATGGTAGTTTTTCTTCTCTCTAGTTTGGCTTGTTCCTCCATTTTATTCCCATTATATGGATTCTTAGAAGGATAGTCTTCATTCTAATTGTAACATTAAAGACCACTGATGCAATTTTGTTTTTTTGTGAATCTGGGCTGAAGAAATAAAAATGGACTTAAATTGATTTAATATCAACAATAGAGTA